TTTGAAGTGTAGGACCTTGTCCACTCAACTGGAAACGGCACCTCACTTAGCAACATGCTTCTTAAATGGAACAACAACCAGTAAAGCAAGGGCTAGTCAGATACATTTCAGCACCATTTACTTAAATATTTTATGTCTAATGATGATTTCAACATGTTTGCAATTTTAATATAAACTTAAGTAGGTTTTAATTTTTTAGGTAATTATTTATAGAAATTATTTCTAGGCAGGCAAATCATGTTCAGTGACTCCTCATTCTCAGACATAATGTCTTATTGCTTAATTTCATCTCCAAATTAATCCCTCCTATTCCAAAGAAAATTTAGAAAAATACTTTTCATCTATAAATTTTGGGGATTGAGCTACATAAAGTTTATATAAAGTATCTTCCAGCTTTACAATTTTGAGTTATAAGTCATAGGAGGGATGGGACCATTTATGGACTACTTATTAAATCTTATTGGGGAACGGCTGAAATAGAACAGGTTGCCATGTTCCTCTCCTAAATAACAATAACAAAAAAGCTATAAAATATAACTTGGCCAGTAAATGAAATTCAAGGAAAAAGATTTCAATATTCTTACAATCCACAGAGAATAAATGCCAAAGAAAATCTGATGTCTATTTAGATCAACTACATGTTTTTCAGTAAACCTACACATACAGGAACATTTTTAGCCAGAACAAAAGACTATTTTTGTCACAGAAATTAACCGTCTATCAAAAATTAAGTTTAACACATTTCTTAATAAACACAAATCATTCCAAAGGAACAAGCTACCCCTATTTTAATAAGGGGCTGCAAGACAGTGAGTCTTCCTGATCTCAGGCAGGAAAGAAACTGCATTCCCTCTACCTCCAACACATACACACACACACACACACACACACACGCACAGCCTACAACCAGCAAAGAGAAACTGAGCCATAAGGTGGCCAGCTCATCAATCTGATAACTCTTATCAAAAGGAATGTCTCCTTTTCTCCCAGAGGTCTCATTAAAGCACAAATTAGCAACAAGTGTGTAAAGCTAAGACAAGCAAATAAGTCAAAGAAACAAGCAGTGCAAAATGATTTTCATGGCACTACAACACTTATTCTAGAATGCCGTGTGCTAGGAATCCTGTCCAACTTCCGTTCCTGCTGGGGAGGGGAGTCCTGGAGCCCCCACCACAGCAGCAGACAAGTAGTACAGCCTCCTTCCAGAATATTCAGCTTCTGTGGCCCCTTTTACCCAGACCAAGAAAGCTCAGGAACCTGGTGCCACACTAGGGACCTGGTGCCACAACACAAGTGGCCTGCACACAGGCAGGTCCAGAACACTGCTCCTATCGTGCCTTGGGACTTGAGAAGCCTGCTGGCAGTGCCTACTGATGATCTCTTGCAACTCATTTCTCCAATGGGAATTAAAATGAACAGCAATTTGATTGGGACCTCTGGGACAGGTTGACTTCCTTGCTGTAATTCACAATCATTAAAGAAAGGCAGTTATGTTGCCACTTACATCTCTAAATGGAGGAGTGTGTGGCCCCCAGAATCATTTTCCACTGGGAATGTGCCCGAGATTGCCCTTTGTTTCATAGCTGATTGCCCTGTTAAACTGGAGTAACCCTGCACTAACTTCTACCACATCAGTCACAGGGAGCACTAGAGATCAATTATCTTAGAAGACTTAACTCCCAGCCAATGAAGATGCTGTGCAATAATGAGAACACTTTCATTTTTTTTTGTCCTTTTTGAGACCAGCCGCACCGCGCTCAGCCAGTGAGTGCTGTGAGCAC